TATGTTGGAAGAAGCTTTTTTTGTTATTTTTTTACTTTTGTGGCAAGCCTTTCTTCATTGTAATCCTTAGCTTCCCCTTACTTCATCTTTATAGGCTCGGGCTATTTGCTGATATTCTGCCTTAGTTATGTCCCCCCCTTTCCACTTTTTATACTTATCTTTTTTGTCTTTCAATTTGTCAGAGAGTTTTTTATGCAGCCATGCTGGTTTCTTTTGGGAGCTGTTATTTTTCTTCTTCATTGATATTGTTCTAGACTGGAGTTGAAGTCCACACATCTTGAGAAAACACCACTTTAAAGACCCTTTTTTGTAAATGGCAGAGAAGTTGGGCTACCAAGAGAGTGTTATTTTACATTCATTATAATTATAACCGTGGGACGTAAATTAGACAGTGAATGGCCTGAAGCTGATCAATGAACACGATACTGGTTCATGGATGTGAACTAGTGGAACCTTGGTTCCATTAGTTAATTGTTCTCACTGTCAGGAAGTTTCTGCTTTGTTTTTAGGTTGCTTCTCTCTTTGTTCAGTTTCCATCTATTGCTTCTTGTTTTGCCTTCTGCTTCTTTGGAAAATATGTTGCCCTCCCTTCTTTGTGGCAACCCCTCAAAAGCCTGTTTTGTGACATGCCTATCACACTCTTGGGCAAAGCATGTGAGCCATTTCCTCCTTTCAGTGGTCCATGAAAGTACATCTATAGTATGTAGATGCAGATAATAAAGTCAAAAAATGGTGAACAACATTTTTACAGAACTATAGATAAGTTGAGGCCGGGCGTGACAAGGAATTGCTGGGAGGGGAGGGGCCAGGCGAGGCACCCCTCAACATGAGTGATGTTGAGTTGGCCATGCCCAACTCAACCACATGGCCACCCAGCCACACGACCACCCAGCCATGCCCTCCCAGTCACATGACCATCTAGCCACGCCCACCAAATCACACCCACAGAACCGGTAGTAAAATTTTAATCCCACCACTGGATTTATAGTTGCTAAACTGGGATCAAACCCCACTGAAACTTTCAAAATAAATTTTTAAGCTATCTTTCTCTGGAAACTAGGAAAATGTATACATTATTAAGCAGAAGTTTTAAAACAGCAAAACTAATTATTTATTTTATTAAATTTATATGTATTTATATATACCATGCAAAAAACTTATTTGATTTCAAATTCCTGATGCCCCCCTCCCAACACTGGGCACTTGCCAACTGGCCTCTATTTATGGCCATTTGCAACATAAAATCAGGTCTACTCATGTGGTCATTTATAACTGTCACAATGTGAGATTAATTTCCAGACTCAATGATCTATACTAAGGATAAAAAAATATCTATATATATAATAAATATAAACATCAAAACCTATGACTTTTGCAAAAGGGAAGGAGAGGAAAGGAAAGGAAGACAGATTAGAAAATGAGGCTGTGTTTAAATTATCACAAGACTTTTAAAACATACTATTGGCAAAAGAGGGACTCACAAGGAGCATATAAAAGCCTTCTCAGATGTGCTCATTTCCTATTCAGAAATGTGATGGTCATTTTGTTCCAGCAGCTCTTGAACTATTTTGAGCATAGAGTCATTCTCAACTGTCACTTGGGAAGCTACATGGACTCTGATAGCTCCAGCTCTATTGAAGAAGTCATAAGAAAATTGGGAGGGAAGGGGATTGTGTAGCTGGCTAGGCTTATAGATGCATAATTACTCGACAGAATTAACATTTGTCAATTTAATAATTTTTTGTCCTAAAGTAGGGCAAAGTCCTTGCCTTCTCTATTTCATTGGATTTACTAATACCAGCTACATGTTGTGCTCCATGAATGAAATTGACATGTTCAGGATAGTTCATGAATGAACCCCACCCAAAGCCCTCTTGCGTTGAAAGCTGAAAAGGCTTTAGCTGTAATGAGGTGTGGCCTCTTTACACCAGTCTTTGATGGCAAGAGAAAGGGAGCAATTGCTTTTCATCCCTTTTGCTTAGAAAGGGGACAGTGGACAGAATGAAGAGTGTCTACTTGAGAGCTTCAACCATGCAGAACCTTCAGAGCAACTGAAATACTGCTGCTGGCCTACCAATTTTAGCAAGAATAGGCTGCTGGGGAAGATTTTGCCCTGTCACCATCAGCTCAGATTGCCTCCCACTTGCTGTATGTTCCGTTCTCAGACGGGGAATTCAAATTAATTAGAATCAGACGTGTGCAATAGGATTAAGTTGGGGGGGGGGATGTTAGGGATCCTGCAATTACAGCCTGTAATTGAGTTTCCGATTATGCACCGAGACCCTTCATTTCTTTTCTTGTCAGAGCTACACTATAAAATAGTTCCATCACACATTAGCAGCCAGTTGAAGTCTTGTTTGTTTTAGCTGCCACAGACAAACTTGTACTTACTGCAGTTCAATCTGGGAAGGAAATCTGCCCCAGGTTCAGCTGACTGACAGTTCAGGCAAGCAAAGCAGTTGGTATGTATTGCTGCTCAATTAATTTGCAAAATAGTTTTGAAACCTTCACAAAGTTACTCCTTGCCTTCAGGCATCTTCTGCTCTTGTGTATTTCATTTCCTCCTATTTTTTCCATTTATGGTATACCACGCTCATCTGGTTGGACTGTAAACGTAAATGTGGTTAGAACGCCTAGCTTCTCTGCAGCTTAAAGAAAATGCAGGTTAGGTGGCTCTGTTCATGTCTTCCCTTGAAATTCCTATCCCATACTTTTTCAAAATATTTGAACTACACAATTAGATAAGGCTCTGCCACACATTGACAATCATGTGGTTTGATTGAACTAGAAAAATGCATGTCTAATTCAATATCTTCACAGATTCCCAGAGCTTTAGGGTTTATGCAGAAAAATGGGAAACTTCTTTGTGATAGCATTGCACAGAAAATACAAAGAAAGAAGAAAGAGAAAATAAAGCAGTTGGATTCATTGAATTTGGTGACCAAGTAATAATTTGAACTCGGACATCAATACTTTAACATTGCTAATAGCTAGTCTATCTGTTATCTCTCTTTCTCTCGTCTATCTATCTAGCTGTCTAGCTAACTAGCTAACATTTGGCAAGTAAGTAAGCAAGTAAGTAAACAAATAAGTGCAAACACACACACACATGCAGTAAAAAGACAAGTTTTCCCCGAACATTTAACAGGTTTCCTTTAAAGAGTTTCAGTTCAAAACCGTGAGCAAAAAAGTAGTCAGAAAAACTTTAAGGGTCAGAGCTTTGAAGAAAGTTTGACAGCCGATCCACAGGATTGTGGGTTCATAGATTAAGAGTCAGGATAGCAGAAGGAGGAGTCAAACAAAGATGGAAGAGGAAAGGGAAGATCAACTCGAGAATATGTGGCAAACCCTAATTACTTTGAGAGTTTCTAAATACAACCATACCCGCCTTAAGCAACAAAACCTTGACAGGAAGAGTGAGACAAAAAGCAAAACTTCCACAAGGTAATATTTCTGATGTTGGTACCATGGCCAGTCTACCCTTACTGTCATGTCTTCCTATTCACTGGAGAAACTGGCAATTTCTGCTGTACAAAACAAAGAGTTATGATTGGCAATTTGCAACCTCTACCTAACGAGCTCTTCATTTATACAGCAATGATGAACCTTTCCAAACAAAAGTTCAGAACAAACAAGTTCAGAAAAAACATCAGACAATAACTACTGTCTTCTTTCAAATGCATCCTTTGGTGCCAAAGAAGTTCTTCCAATGAGGAACTGAGAGAATCCTTCTGTCATTATTCAAGGGCAAATAATCATTACATCAGAAATGTAATGGCAGACCGCAATTAGCAACTGACATTTATTCAGATTTACTTCATGGATTTTCAACAGTATAGAATCAATGGAAATAATCCACAGTGATGGAATTTCAACATTTAATTTACAGAATGCGTCCAAAATCTGGGACTAATTCTGTGGAATTAAACTTTAGCAAATTTTACAAAATATTTTATGACATAAAAATGATCATAGAACAATTTATCCCATAATACTAAATATCATAAAACATTTCCTGTGCTGTTTGATTATGCTATACAATTCATTGTCAAGGCAGATACATCTCTGAATGTATCTCTACTTTTCAGTTAAGGCAATACTACATTAGAAGTTTTGTCATTGTTGAAAGCATTGAAGCATCTGGTAAGAAAATATTTCTGAAATGATGACCCAATGGGCCACTTGTTATCTAGTCTATATATCACTGGCAGAACTGGTGCCAAGTTTAGGAAATAAGTATATTTATTAAGTGGCTGGATAGCAGAGTGCTTAGGGTGCCACCTTTTGACAAGAGACTGGGGTTTGAATGCTGAATGGTACCTCCCTTACCAGGAGGATCTTTATCCAAACGCTTTACCTGCCTTTAATGCTTCACCTGCCTACCTCAAATAGGAGAATGACACAAACTAAGAAACATGTCGATTCACACATCACCTGGATTAACAAGTTCCACTGAGGAATCAGAACAATATGATAAATGGGCTACTGGGAAAAAAACATACATAGACAAGAGACTCCAGAACTGATGGAATGCTACAACAGTAGAAGACCTAATGAGAAGGGACATATGAAATGTATGAGGGAACTATGGATAGAAAGAAGACCCTCATCTACACTGAGAAACCATTTTTCAATGAAGAGGAAGCTGTCACAACTTGAGATGGATCAGTTACATATCACGTCCCAGACTCAAGACCTGGGAAAACAACTGGATGTGCAGCTGATACCTGGAGCTGGAATGTCTATTCCCCCACCCCCACCCCTACAGAGCACAACAACTGATATGAGGCATTAGATCATGGATAAATTAGCTAGTCAACCCCAGAGATCAATTATCAAGGCTCAGTGAAGAAGTACCATCAGTTAGTATATTTGAAGATGCCAACAGAGCCTTTGCAGAGGTTCTGAGGACTCTGGGAGCTGGCCCACCTGTCTTCAAATTGCTAAGTATGTGAAACATTACAATATAGTATTCAGTGCTGTATGGCATACCTCCCAAGTTATTAAATACAAAACAAACACTATTTAGGTTTCTTAAATTCAAACAGATGAGGTCTTGGTTTGTTGGACTAATCAAGGTGATGTACTGGGAAAGAGCTGCAATGGAATTAGCCTTTTTTGGGAGAAGACTCCCATTGTATATTAATTGATCAAATCAGGACTGGGAGAATATGCTATATGACAAAATTCAGATGCTATATCTCAAGAATAACATGGTCTCGATCAAAAACCCAATTACAATAGTTTAGAAATAACTGCTAAGTTCACAAGTAATGCTCAGCTCTGAGTTTGGGTTGTTTTCTATTCACTATGACATATGAATAGTGACATAGCATGAATCAGCCCAGACAATGGAAAAACATAAAGAGAAATTCAATAAATAAAAGCATTTCAGAAGAATATGAAGTAAAATTGCTTTATGACTGTCCATGCAACCTTATTATGATAGCATTTGTTGCTTGTATCTCACAATCCTTCTAGATGGTTTTATTCAGAGAAACAGAAAAGAAACACAGATTGCAATTTATGCTTGAGAGGGATTCTTTATTGCAAGCAGTGTATTTTATTTTATTTTATTTAAAAAAAACCTCTTGGCTGTTCTACTCCTCTGCTCAAGCAAACTGAAGTTAAACTGACTCTAGATTGCAATTCCAATACTATATGTATATATATATGTGTACATACATACATACATACATATACATATATATGTGCATATAAAAGAATTACAGGCTGCAAAGTGTCAATATTTTCTTTAAAAAAGTAAGAAAAACAAACATTGCCAAAATAATCATATAAAAAAGCGGCATTAGATAATCAGGAAAGCTACTGAAAGTCTCCTTCATATGCCAGGCACTTAAGTGTTTGTTGCTTTTTTTTCTGGGTATGTAAGGAGGCAGCAGAAGGCCTGACAGACTTGACAGTACCAGGAGGAGAAATAAAGCATTGTTCAATAAATATGCAGGTTCTTCCTTGTCTTAAGAAAGATTCTCCTTATCTCCTTTGCAGGGATATGATCAAGGAAAAGTCACTGGATCTCTTCAATAATTGGCAGTCCAGACCTTTCTGATTCCAGTCAAGTGAGAAACGATTACAGGATCAAACATTTTATGAGCTTGGAATGGGGCTGCTATTGTGCTGCGAAGCACTGTTGCTTCACAAGATCTGACCAGATACTACAAAAATTATAAAAGCGACAACAGGCATTGTCAAGTTTTGTTCCCCTGTTCCCGTCTTAATGCCTCCTGTCAAAAAATATTGACTGAGCAGCATGATTCTGTGCATGTGCCCTTCTCCACCCCCACCCCCAAACCAAAACTCTTTCCCAGAAGTAACTTGTCTGTGCTTTTCCATGAAAGGATTTGAAAAGTAAATAAAAGGTTAAATGTGCCAAGACAGAGAAGTCCCAAAAACTTGTTACAGGCTTTTCTTGTGAAATTATCCTAAGACGGCCGTTCCCAGCATTCCCTTCATTTCTAAGATGTTTTTATCTAGTGGGAGTCGGAGGTAGACCCTGGAGGAATGCAGCCTGGCCAGGCAGAGAGAACACAGCCTGGTGAAGACATCTTGGATCAAGAAAACATCCGCAGCCTTCATCCACTAGTGTAAAAGTTCTTGGTCCCTTTTGGTTCTGTTAGGTCCCATTGAGAATCTGTAACAGTCAAAACACCAAAATGTGATTTCAGCCCAATCCAACCTCTCTGAATAGGGTGGGCATTTCCTATTCAGGCTTTGCTTTCTGATGGGCTTTCTCCAAGCATGTTAGCAATTTCGCTGAAAGATGGGCGGTCCTTTGGGCTTTGAGCCCAACAGCGCTGCATCAACTTGTAACATTTGGAGGGACAACCCTCTGGATGGGGAAGCTTCATTTTCCCAGACTGTAAACCTAAAAAGAGAAAAAGAAAGCACAGAGTAAGAACTGCCCTCCCAGTTTTTTTGCTAGGATGCATGTATGATCAATTTTTCAGCAACAGTACAGCTCCTTAATTATTTGCCCTCAAGCAGCAACTTAGATAATTTTTTGATTATTTTCATTTTTAAAATATCCATTTTCTGAATAATAGTTCTGTTTGTTTTAGAAGATTTCTCAAATCAAAATGAGATGAGGAACAGTACTATCAGTGAATTCTCTCTTCCAATTCCACCCATTCATCTTTCCTCTTTTTCCATCCTGTCTGAAATTGTATTGAAGAGATTGTAATAAAATCTCTTTATTAAAGTACACCAGCAGTACATTCACAACTTTTGGGGGTAAGTTGTTCAAATGATTATTTGTTCTAACTGTCAGGAAATTTCCCCTCAGTTCTAAGTTGCTTCTCTCCTTGATTAGTTTCCATCCATTGTTTCTTGTCCTACCCTCAGGTGCCATGGAGAAGAGTTTGACTCCCTCTTCTTTGTGGCAAAACCTGAGATATTGGAAGACTGCTATCATGTCTCCCCTAGTTCTTTTCATTAAACTAGACATACCCAGTTCCTGCAACTGTTCTTCATGTTTTAGCCTCCAGTCCCCTAATCATCTTTGTTGCTCTTCTCTGCACGCTTTCTAGAATCTCAAGATTTTTTTTACATTGTGGCAACCAAAACTCCTTTAATAGTTGGCGAGTCACTTAATAAAGAAGCTGTTTTACAACAGCCCAGTGTTGCTCCAGTCTACATACATTTCACTAGAGAAGAAAAAACTTAACAAGGGTTCACATACCTGCTAACACCTCTTCATTCCCCAATGATGAATGCGGCAATTCCCCCAATGTAAATATTTCCCACATGACCACCCCGAAGGACCACACATCAGATTTTGTGGAGAATTCATCCTCCAAGACAGCTTCAGGGGGCATCCAACGAAGTGGAATCCAGGCTTGGTGGTAGTGATAGTATTCGCTGAATATGGAGAAGCAAAGGATAAATCAGCTCTGTCCAAATCTTCTAAACGTGGCCTTTGGAGCATCTGCTAAGAGAGATCTAAGCAATCTTACCTGTTGTAAACATCTTTGCTGAGACTTAGTTTTGCCAGCTTCACCTGCCTTTGCGCACTGACCAGGCAGTTCCGAGCCGCCAAGTCTTTGTGGACAAACCTGCTATTGGAGAGATGTTCCATTCCCAGTGCCACTTGACAGCAGAAAGACAACTGAAAAATACCAGATACATAAAGGCATTGTAAGCATCCTATGTGAAGCTAAGTGTCCTCTGAACTGGCCTGGAGGAGGAATAATAAAGGGGAGGCATTTCCTATTTTGCAAAATTTCTTAGAATGGTGCATCACAGAGCAACATTTTTGAGTCAATGTAGCTCAATGGCTAACTTAAAGAATGTGTCCAAAACCCAGGACTCATTACTCCACTGGAACTGAAAATTCAAGGATTGACAATGTATTGGCCACCACGGTCAGCTCTAATCTCATGACCATGATTTCTGATGCTCCCGGCCAATTCTTACATGGAAAGTCAATGAGGAAGCCGGTGGGAAGTAGTCATTCCCACTTCCAGTGCTTTTTGCTCACCTACAGTCAAGTGCAAACAACCAGACCCCCACTTTAAGAGCTCGATTAACTTTTTATTGCTGAAGCCTGTACAGAAAAATTTACTCAGGCTAATAATTTGAACTTGTGACTAGATAGGTTTCAATGGCATTCAAGAGAGGAGGTTGGACTTTACCCCCTTGAACTTGTGTAAAGATTCTAGACAAACTGCCCATTTGACTCTTCCGCTGACTTGGCCAATTTCTCTCCTACATCTGTGGTCACTCTGTTTATCTGTTAGATAAGTAAATATCTCTGAAATGGGTTGCCTAGTGACCTATAAAGCCCCCCCCCCCCGCCCCTTTCCTGGACCAGAAGGTCTTGCTGATGGTCGCTCGTGGCATAATCATTTCCTGTCTGGATTGCTTGCCATGTGCTGAATGTGAGGCTGCCCTTGAAGACTATTCAGAAGCCCCAATTGATCTAGAATGCAACAGCATGTGCAGTGTTGAGCACCTCTAGGCTTGCTCACATTACACCACTGTAGCACAAGCTGCACTGGCTTCCAGTTTTCTGCTGGGTGCAACTCAAAGTGCTTGTTATCACCTTGAAAAGCCTACATGGCATAAGACAGGCTATTTGCAGGACTTAGTATCTGCCTGTCCCACCAGTTTGACTAAGGTAGGTACAGTCCAGGTCCATCCCCTGAAATATTGCCATGCAGAGGGGCATAAAAAGCATGTCTTTTCCACAGCTGCCTCAATCTTGTGGAACATCCTTCCCCCAGCAATTCAGTAGACCCCATCCCTTTAGACATCTAGAAGGCCATCAGACCAGGCTCTTCACCCAGGCAGTGAGCTAGAGTAATTGGAGCCTACGGATAGTTGCTGCACCATGGGAGATGATTGCAGCACTGGTATTTTTTGGTTTTTTATTTTTTATCTTTATGGTTTTATGGTTTGTAATTCCATTATTGTTCATTATTGAGTTGTGTTTTTTGGTGGAAGGCCATATGCTTAATTTCTTAAATGAAGAAACAAATGTCTTAGATCACTAACAGATGGTTGTTAGAACACATCATCAAGACCCACAATGGCTTGCAAATTGTCCATTTGTGATCTACAATTTGCCAGAATGTTATCTGTAAACAACTTTCTGTATAAAAAAAATCAGCACGCAGGCTTGTTTTTAAATAACCCTTGCAACAACCTTAGGAGATAAGGCACCTGCACAGCAGCCTAAATGCCATACCAAATTGGATGACATAATTATTGACTCTTTCAAATGAACTGACTCCTTTCTCTACAATTACAGCCTTCTTTAGATTCAGATGCTACTAACTTTCCAATTGTACCACTTTACCTTATGCTTGGTGCTGATGGGCTGGGGCTTGAGGTTCTCATCTTTACTTCTGGAAATCCTCAGGAACTGCTTCAGATCTCCCTAGCAGAAAGGAAGTCAGAAAGGAAATCTTCAGAACTATTCAAAAGTATACGGAGACAAAAATAAGTCGGACCAATTCATCTTATAAATCTCTTATTCTCTTTTGATCACATAAAGTTAACTTTAAGATGCTAACAATAAACACTAGGATTATCTGCAATAACACCACGTTCATACAGTTTCCAGATACAGTAGTGGATGAGCAGGCAGAGTAAGCATGCATTCGCAAGACCCAGTTGGGTGAAGACAATGTTGCCTTATCAGAGATCTGCTTCTCCCAGAATTTGGATTCATCAACAACTTTGAAGCCAGGATTGAGGATGGGGGAAGAGGTCAGCATTCATCATTAAAAACTCTGTATTTGTGACCAAGGAGCTTGATTTGAAGACTTCTGGGTGTAAACATGTCTTTCTGAAATAGGCCCATAGATATATCCAACTTTCCTTACTCAATTATCCTAGCCCAGCCAAGATTCAGGAAACAACTAAATATGGAGCTATTCCATAGAGCCTTTCCCTACAGAATGGATACCATCATGTTTTTTTGTTACTGGTTTATGTCTTACGTTTTAAAATATTGTGTTTCTAAGCCTACCAGGGATGTTTGAATGTTGTGTATGCTGACTCTATAAACTGCTTAGAAAGGGCTGTAAAGCACTGTGAAGCGGTATATACATCTAAGTGGCATTGCTATTGTTTGAATTGTGTTACTATAGATGTTTTATTGTTCCTCATCCTGAATGTTTTTATGATTTTGCCGTAAATTGCCGGTGTGAACTGAAATTGAGAAATAAAAAAATATTCAATATAGAAGTCCCTTTCCAGTGACCAGCTTCTTCAGCCTCCAATCTAAAGGGGTGGAATTTCCATATAAACCTGTTGGCTTTTGTTTCCAAAGTAAACCCCAAAAAAAGCATGATCAGTTCAATAACCACAGCAAAAACTGACACAGGTTTACTCAAGAGCTCTACATCCATTATTGTATTTCAATCAACAGGTCTTCTCTTAAGAGTAAATACAATGTATACAGGTTCAACCTTGTATACTTGCTAAAAAAGAAACAACCCCCCACATACATACAACAATTGGATATTTGATTAGATTTCTTACCAAATCTACATATTCCAAGATCATGTAGTGAGGCTCTGCTTCCCTGCATAAGCCAAGCAATCGCACCACGTTGTTGTGGTTCAGTTTGCCAAACATCTCAGTTTCTTGTCTGAAGGCCAACTGTAGTTGCTCATCCCTTGACTGAAGACTCTTGACTAAAACGAGCACTTCAGTGTCATTGTCATCAATGCCTTTTGCCTTAGCCAGGAAAACATCTCCAAATTCACCTTTCCCTAAAAATAAAAAAAAAGGAGAGCAGCTTGCTAGTCATCTCTATATTAAACACAGAATACAGTACAATATAGATTTTGATACTGTTGAAAAATTTGAGGCCATGAGCAGGAAGAAGGAAAACTTCAGAGTTGGCTGAGAGAGTATGATGCAGATACCTACTTCCCCTGCCCCCCCCCCTGCCATTTATCCATGGGGGTCATAGATAGTTTTTGATGACCCAAAGATAATTGGGTTTCTAATGACAAAAATGGACCTAGGAGAACCCATTGGCTATACATTTGATATCTTTAGGAGAAGTGCAGCCTCTTAAATAGTTTTTGGTTTCTGTTGGCTATAGGAAGTGTGTCTGGTGATGTTAATCAGAGGAATAGAAATTTTTAAATCTTAAGGGACAATAACTGAGGAGACCGGTTAACTGTAACAGGAACTTTATTCAACAGAACTAGTGATAGGCAAAAGGCAAGCAACTCCCGTCTGACAGCTATTTATACTTGTAGCTGTCAGACGGGGAACCAATGGGTAGTGTAGGATTTTCCTGCCGGCCGGCAGGCGCGTCCTAGCCAATCAGAGGTGATTTGCACAGCGCCATCTGCTGGCCAGAACACAACATCCCTTTCCCCTGGATGGAGCATGCGTAGTCGCATAGGTACTTGGGGCGTCTGTGCACGTGCTGAGATCTTCTCTCCAAAGGTGTGGCTGTCACCGAAGAAGAAAGAGTGCTAGACTCGCCGCTCGCCGGATTGACCATGAGAGCAGCGCAGGAGGCCCCACCCCGAGCATGGCGCCAGTTTCTAAAGGTAAGTTAACTGACGAGAACGTGGTGGGAGGCGCTGACTCGGAGATAGGTTTTTTTGTTGGTCTGGCCGGCAGGCGGCGTTGGTAGGGCCTGTTGCATCTGGAACAGCCGGACAGTTCATGGGCCCCTCCGTATTTCGACGGAGCTGGTCTACATGCCTCCGCCAATGTCTCCCATTGTCGAGGAGGACCCTGTAGGAACAGGGCCCAGTTATCTCGGTAACGTGTCCGGGCAACCACTTCAGATCGCCCACAAAATTCTGGGCGAATACCCCCTCTCCCACCAGAAAAGCCCTAGGAAGGTCAGGGCAGGAAAAAGAAGCAGGGGTGTAGTGGGGGTGCAGGCGTCCAATGTGGTGCGGAGCTTCCTGCCCATTAGTAATTCGGCAGGGCTTTTTCCGGACAGTGGACAGGGAGTGGTATGTTGAGTTCGCAGATAGGTGGAGACCCGGGTAGACCAGGGCAGCAGAGCCATACGGACGAGGGCCTCTTTGGCGGAGCAGATAGCACGCTCCGCCAGCCTGTTCCCAGCAGGGTGGAACAGGGCCACCAGCACATGTCGGATACCCAAATTGGAGAGGAAGTGTTGGAATTCTACAGAGGTAAACTGGGGACCATTGTCCAAAACCAGAACATCTGGAAGACCATAGGTCGTAAATAGGGAGTCCAATATGTGGATCGTAGCACAGGAGGTCGTGCTTTTCATGGGGAAGAGCTCTACCCATTTAGACCAGGCATGAACTATGATGAAAAAAGGGAGGCCGGCCATAGGACCCATGAAGTCAACATGTATTCGGCTCCAAGGGGCCATGGGCCGGTCCCAGTCTCTGTGCAGCATGGCAGGAGGTGCCAGGCGCACATTTTGGCAAGGCGAATAGGATTGCATCTAGGCTGCGATGTCCGCATCCATGGAGGGCCACCAGACATATCCACGGCCCAGGCTTTTCATCCTGACTATGCCTGGGTGCCCTTCGTGGAGGCGGGTGAGGACAGCATGGCGAAAGGAGGGAGGAATAATGACGCGGTTGCCCCACAGAAGGCAGCCCTGGGGGACTGACAGTTCTGTGCAGTGGCGGAAGTAGGGGAGAAATTGAGCCACTCTGGAGCTGGCAGGCCAGCCCCGGTGGACCGCGTTAATGACATAGGAGATGACAGGATCGGAGAGGGAGTCTTGCGCTAACTCCGAAGTGGACATAGGTAAGTGGAGATCCTCAATGAGGCAAATGGAATCTGTAGGGGCAGGGTCGGAGAGCACGGTGGGCAGGAGGCAGCAGCTTAAAGCATCAGCGTGGCCCATATGGCGACTAGGCTTGTGCACAAGGGTGTAGGAATAAGCAGCCAGGAACTCAGCCCACCGGGACATCCTGGGGGAAATAATAGGGGGGTAGGTCGGTCCCCCACAAGAATCCCCAGGAGGGGCTTGTGATCCATGAGGACGGTAAAGGGGCGGCCATATAAGTAAAGGTGAAAGCGCTTTACTCCCACAACGGTGGCCAGGGCCTCCTTATCCAACTGGCTGTAATTGCGCTCAGTCTTGGATAAGTTGCGGGAGTAAAAGGCAAAGCGCCTGAGCCGTAGCCAACATCTCCGGTCCGCAATAGTTGAGGAAAATGCCCGCTTTCTGTCAATGGACAGGTTGGTCAAATCATGGGCTAAAAGAAAGCATTCAAACCGTTCCATGAACGCATCCCATGATTCAGCCTCCAGATGGAATGGAGAAAATACAGAAGCAGCAGCCATGGGAGGCACGTAGTAAGGATCCGGTTCTCCAGCCCTCGTCGCCAGTTTTAAATCTTGAGGGACAATAACTGAGGAGACCGATTAACTGTAACAGGAACTTTATTCAACAGAACTAGTGACAGGCAAAAGGTAAGCAACTCCCATCTGACAGCTATTTATACTTGTAGCTGTCAGACGGAGAACCAATGGGAAGTCCAGGATTTTCCCGCCGGCTGGCAGGCACATCCTGGCCAATCAGAGGTGATTTGCATAGCGCCATCTGCTGGTCAGAACACAACAGAAATTCTGGTCAATCAGTCAGTCATCTGATATCACTCACTGACCAGCAAATCCGAAGAAGTGACATTTAAGTTGCTGAACATCAATGTAACCTATATAGCAAAGAAACTGACTAGAATAAAACGAGCTGTAAAATCATATAACAATACCGGTAGTTCTCAATTTCTTCAATAACTGTTTGAAGGCAATGACAATGTTGAATGAATAGTGGCTGTAGCCATTCTCTTCTGGCCTATCATGCACACCCACACACATCATCCTGATCCACACAGTGCCTCTCTTGGACCCTCCACTAGCTTCCCAACCCACACAATATCTCTCCTGTACCCTCTCTGATTCTGCACTCACCTCCACCTATCCCCTTGCTCCAGGAATTTGCAGCTTCCTCAGCTTCCTTCCTGACTCATTGTTTTGGAATTTATGACTGTGGAATCTAAGCAATGCTATTACATTTTATGGCCATACTGTTTAGTGAGGGAAATTTTGTAAGATAAAAATTTAAGTTTAAGAATTTGGGGATAATTTATATAAGGTAATTGAATGATTCTTTAGAACAGTAGTTCTCAACCTTCCCAATGCCGTGACCCTTTAATACAGTTCCTCATGTTGTGGTGACCCCCAACCATTAAATTAATTCCGTTGCTACTTCATAACTGTGAATTGTTAAACGTGATTAACAACAGTGTTACTAACTTAATTTGCAGTGATTCACTTGACAGATGTGGCGAGAAAAATGGTAAAATGGAGCAAAATCCACAACAAAGTTCTCACTTAGCAACATAAATGTTGGGCTCAAGTATAGGCTGGTAAGTGGAGGACTACCTGTATGTTAGGCTTGAACAAAAACAGGCCAAGAGGCGAAAGGTCTCCATTTGGCCCTATCCCAGCAGGGCAACATTTGCTTCTTAAGGAAGGCAGAGAGATTCCCGCTGGATCTCTCACCAGCAGGGCAGCTCAATCAGGTCTGCTGATTGTCGATCTTTCAAGGGCGGCAGAGGGCAGCGCCAAATCCCGGACTTCCTTCACTGCTCCCAAGAAGCTGCGGGCTGGACCATAAGGACAAGGCACCTGCAGGGTCGTCGTAGAGCAAAGCTGGCTGTCACTCGAGGCTCTGCCTGGCTCGTTTGCTCCTCTGGCTTTCCCGCCTCCTTACTAGGCCCAGAAAAGCGGCGCAAAGAGCAGCCGAAATGCACCATTTCAGTGGCTGCCAGGAAGCCGCCGCCGCCAGCTTTCCCACGCCAAGACTGCCATCGGCCACCTTTACGAGGGTGAAGGGTGAGTGGCGCCGAGCTTCCAGGCGGTGACTCTCCGGTGGCCGCATCCTCCCCAGCGGCGTCCCCGAGGGCTCCTGCGTCTTCTTGCGCTCCCTCCTCTTCTTCCAACCGGGCAATGTGGACCTGCTTCTTTGCGCCCTCCACCACCATATGTCTACTACACCCGAGGGCCACTGCTGCAGAGCTGGGCAAGCGACACGTGACCGAATAATCCCAGAGCTGGTGGCATCATGGCAAGCAAAAGGAACACCTTAAAACCACACTTCCCAGAAAGCACCGGAAACCAGCTGTTTACGGTATGGAGGTTGTCGCTGCAAAACACCTCCCTTTCCACACTGAGGTTGGCGAAGGCTCCCGTTGGCTAACAATGTGCGAATTAAATCCCCTCTCCAGTTATTGACTAGGCCCTAGAGGTCTTAGGTGACCCCTGTGAAAGGGTTGTTCGACCCCCAAAGGGGTCACGACCCACAGGTTGAGAACTGCTGCTTTAGAAGAACAGAATAGGGTAGACACTATAATATAGATTAATATATCTAGTTAAAATGTAGTAATGTAATGTATAGAAAAGAATAATACATAAGTAGTGATTACACTTTCAAAAATTAAAGTTTTGAGTCCAATTATAATGACTATCTATATTGTTAAAATGACACTGCAATCTAATAACGAATACAAGGCAGAAATAAGAATCAATTGACAGTGAGGATATAATACATTGCTATAGAGTAGTGACTAAATGGACAGCTGTATTTGAAATGTTTCCAAATGGAAAATATATAGATGTCTGAAGAAAAATTATGGCAAACTATGAAACAGTATTTGGCTGCAATTACTGAGGTAGAATAAGATTGATTTGAATTTGAAGTAATCAATGCTACCCAGAGTGCTTGGTAATGAGTGGGAATACTAAGTGCTGGGAATTTGGGGTGAGGGGTGGGAAGGTATTTAAAGATGAAGATTTATATGTTAAGTCTTATTTCAGCAAGAAATTTTTAAAAAGTGCCACAAAACTTGGGCTGTCTTCTGTCTGTTCTCCTTTAGTATCCTGAATGTTTGAGACAGCATTTTCCAATATTTGAGTGGTACCACCCATTATACATCTTTAATTTCCTTCTTAGATGCCACCTCTTCCATGGTATATTTGACATAACTCCCAGTCCTTTTGCTTAATAAACCAGAATATAACCAGACCTAAATATCTACAATTTAAAATTACTACAGATCTCTTCTCTGTTTGGTACTTTTTGACTATCCTCTTTTGTCCCATGGAAATTTAGAGATTAAGCTCTGCTTAGATTACACAGTCAATACCTAACTGCTTGAAAGGCAAAGGCACTTTCCAAAAGCTGCCTGAAGAATGCAAAATGAAAAACTGTGTTGTGGTATTAAGTAATCAATAAAACTCGTATAGAAAAAATGTCCCTCCAAGATCACGAACTGATGATGGGGAAAAAAAAGCAACAGAGATTTCATTTAAGATCACAGTACATTCTGGATTGCTGGGAACAGGAGAAGAGAGGTCAGAATGTGTATTGCAAGCAAATAGGAAGTAGAATGACTGCTATACAGCATACCCAGAGGAGTGATTGTCTGCAGGTTAGACCGAGAAAAGTGCATTTTATCACTAGTACTGTGCCTCTTGTTGACTGCAGAGCTGCTGCCAATATTTGTCAGAGCCACCTCTTCTTGGATCTCAGCAGTAGTCTGTCCATTTTGCAGCAAAGTACCCCCTGAAAGAAAAATGTTTTTCTTAAAGAAATGTTAAGCCAATGTCTTCCCAGGAAGATGTGTCATATGTTTGGAATTTAAAAGCTCCATACTAATGATCCTCCTGAAACAAAGTATTGATTGTAAAATGTAGAGCATTAAAAGCTAAGACAGATTTCAAAGAAACCTGATCTTTGTGGGTCCTAAAACATTCCTATAAATAATTATGCTAGAGGTTAGTGCTCTATTTTCCAGCATTGAAGCTTCCTTTTCATTTTTAATTTAACTTAAAGGTCAAACAGAACAGGAAGTCTAGCAGGGAGCAAGAAATGTGCCTGGGATTAAGTACATTGGTATCTATAGGCACCAGGTTGCCTACCATTCTGCTTCATTCTTTAATCCACTTTGACTACCAATTTAGATACCCCCAGTGGATATAGCCACTATAATTTCAGTTCATTTCACATTGCTGATGTCATCCACAAAAGTTTATTTTAATATGTTGATATCTTTCTTAATCTTTATAAAACCACATAGATCAGGGGTGTCAAGCTCAAAGCCTGCAGGCAGGATCTGGTCCACAGGGTGCTTAGAACTGGTCAGCGGGGCTGCCCTGGAAACAGTGAAAGACTGGCCCACAGTGCCTCTGCCAGCAAAAACCGAGCTCCGTTTTCCCTGGCAGAGGGTTGCAGGAGGTTGTCGCAGCTGAAAATGCTTGGGACCCATTTTCGCTGGCAGAGTGCTCAGGCCACCACAGGTGCCCCCCGACACGAGTGCTGTCGAACTGGCCACGCCCACCCCAGCCTTTCCCACCCCGGCCCTCAGAGGTCAAACACAACCCGGATGCGGCCCTCAATGAAATCTAGTTTGACACCCCTGACATAAGTAATCCTTAGCATACGACCACATTTAGAACCAGAAAATTCAATATTAATGAAGGCATCACGTGACTGTACCCAATTTTATAGTAGTTTTTTTTCTGCAGTCCTTAAGTGAATCAATGCAGTTGTTAAGTCAGACATCATATGATCGTGTTTTGACCTTCCCTGTCTATTTCCCCATTGACTTTTCTTGTTAGACGCTGGATGGGAAGATCAAAAATAGCAATTACAAGATCTGGGATGCGGCAACTGTCATAAATGCCAGACGTTTGCCAAGCTGGGATCATATTGATGTGCCCATGTGGATGGTGCAATGGCTGTAAGTAATTATTTTCAGTGCTGTTCTAATTTCAAATGGTTGCTTAAAAACTACTTGTAAATCTGGTTCGGGTGATATGGCTGCTTTTCAGAATTTGGCTTAAAAGTATAATAACAAAATTAAAAAGTTGCAACAAACTTAGGAGAAAATTGTTATATTAAAAATCTTTTGAATAATTTTGTAGCAAGTAGATAATGTATTTATTTGCAAAACTACCATTCTTAACATCAGTTAACTCTGGTCACTAGGGGGCCATCTAAACATGTGATTTAGGACGCCCATTAAATGCGTTCTTGAACCCTGATTAGTCTCCAACGCTATTGTTTTACCACTTGTTTTACCTGCTGGAGACCTCTTGTGGCTACTTCATAAATTTTCAGTAGTCGGGTCAGAATTTTGTCACAATTTCTAATAGCAGAGGTGGTAGTAGGTAGTTACTGTGGTTACCAGCGATAAACTAATAAAATATTCTGGTCAGCCCTTAGAATCTCAGAGGGCTAATGACTCAAATTAGCCTTTTACAAGAAAGATTGCAGGAACATTTAAAATATATTAAAGGCTGGTGGAGTGATTTAAAAAACCCAGATAATCTTCTATCTGCATAGCAATATTATTTTATTTATCCTTTATTATTTTAATAAATAACTCAGTGGCAAACATAGCCCTCCCCCATTCTCCTACTTTCCCCACAATACCTCTCCCCATTGGGGGGAGGAGGGAGGAGGTAAGATGACTGGCCCAAGGTCACCCAGCCAGCTTTCATGGGTAAGATAAACTCACATTCTCCTGTCTAGCCTGGTGCTTTAACTACTTTCCAAACTGAAGGATAATTTAAGGAGACCTTCCCCCCACATCAATATTATATATTTTAACTTCTACCCAGCCCTGCAAATAAAACAATTTAAAGCTATTTTAAATTTATTTTGTGTCCCTTGAGAATAACAATTTACAAAAGCATGTCTCTGGAAACCAGTTACTTTCAAAATCAAACAGGGGGAAACTGTGGCTGATGTATCTACTATAAATTAGCAGCCCTATAAACTCAGACAAACTCTTTATCTGGATATTAAACTGCTGTGGAAAATCATATAAAGTATCACTGGGATGAACTGAGAATTGCAAGTGTTTAGGATACTCCTTATCCACTTTTGTCAGTTTCCATTTAACTTCTGTTTTGAACCACCAAGGTTCTTTTAAAGACCACTAACATTTTCTCTGACCATGCAATATTTTAGTTTAACCTACAGAATTGTATTATTTGATCTATTTGAATTATTATCTTCATAATAATAAACACCCACACGAAATAATTAATTCATCTTTTATCCCCGAAATCTAAGCTGAATGAAAAACCTCTTCCATTCTGTTCAAGGCATATAAAAGATCCTGTAACTTACCATTCAGACACTCCATCTCTGGCTCTTCACTTTCTGGCTGCTTCTTCAGTCTCTTCGCTTTCCTCCTCTTCTTGCAGTAGAACATGAGGCCCAACACAATTATTATATATGCTACTGCAGCACCAACAGATAGCCCTATAGTCTGAATCATTTTATAGGGGGTGTGGCTGTTGGGCATATTATCAGGGTTGATAACAGGTAAATCTGGAAATAAGATGCCAAACCTTACATGAGAAGTGCCATCAAATTATTAAAATATATACGCTGATTAAGTATATAACACCACACAATCAGACATGTTTTTTGTCTTATAATGCATAAAAATTGCTCAGCAAACGCCTCTACTTCAAATCTCTGAGCTATATATAAACAAAGAATAAAAAATTGGAAACTTCTTATTTTTGAATGATTAGGAAAAGTGTTAGATGTAATTAAATTCCAGCTTGTCTAGTATAGAATAGAATAACAGAGTTGGAAGAGAGCTTGGAGGTCTTCTAGTCCAACCCCCTGCTTAGGCAGGAAACCCTACACCACTTCAGACAAATGGTTATCCAACATCTTAAAAACTTCCAGTTTTTAAGCATTCACAACTTCTGGAGGCAAGTTGTTCCATTGAATAATTGTTCTGTCAGGAAAGTTCTCCTTAGTTCTAAGTTGCTTCTCTCCTTGATTAGTTTCCACCCATTGCTTCTTGTTCTACCCTCAGATGCTTTGAAGAATAGTTTGACTCCCTCTTTGTGAGATATTGGAACACTGCTATCATGTCTCCCCTAGTTCTTTTCTTCATTAAACTAGACATACCTAGTTCCTGCAATCGTATCATCTGGCCTCCTTCCACAATGGGTAATAGTACTATGCTAAACCCACAATATGTAGGTACAGAAATTATGACTCCTTTCTGGAAGAGCTGAGAAACTTTACTTAGGAGATACTGAATTTATGACAGAAGAATCACCTTCTTGTATTCTAAATGCCACAGCCCAATCACTATCAAACCTATAATCCTTACCAACAACATGGAGAAAGGCCTCATGGTGCTTGATGTTGCAACTGTTGCCAGCAATGCAGGTATACTTGCCAGAATCCGCAGTGGTGACATCATATATTATTAGAGAGCCATTGGTCATAATTTGGATCCTGCAAAAAATGTAAAAGCAAGCAGAGAGTAAGGAAAGCTCATGCAATTGAACTAGTGCCTTGCCTGCCAGTAACTTTAGTTGATCTGTGTCAGGCAAGCCCATCTTTTCTAGATATGCCACCCTACCAGCAATCATTCGTTTGAAACCAAAATGCAGCAGCCAATTATATTTTCCAATAAATGATAATTCTTCCAAAAACAGACTTAAAAGAAGAATGCAATGCTAACCAATAGCATAACTGCAGTAGTTTTTTTGTGTTTCAGAGTAAAAAAGAATAAAGAAAATCCAGTAAACCTTCTCGGCTTTTCCTATCAAGACTTCCAAAGGATAGGATCACTCTACGACATTCACAGGATACAAGTAGTCCTCATCTTACAACAGTTCATTTAGTGACCATTTGAAGTTACAATGGCAGTGAAAAAAGTGAAATGACCATTGTTCACACTTATGGCCATTGCAGCATCTCCACAGTCTCATGATCAAAATTCAGACGCTTGGCAACTGACTCATATTTATGGCGGTTGCAGTGTCCTGGGCCATCTTTAGTAATCTTCTGACAAGCAAAATCAATGGAAAAAGCAGATTCACTTAACAACTGTGTGACTAATTTAACAACAAGAAAGGTTGTAAAATGGGACAAAACTCACTTCACAACTGTCTCACTTAGAAGCATAAATTTTGGACTCAAGTGTGGTCGTAAGTCAAGGACCACCTGCAGTGAGTCTTAAGATTTTTTAAAAAGAAGCAACATAAGTTTGAAGAGGAAATTATTTCCACATTTCTAATTCTTCTCTCTCTACATGTAGCTTGAACTCTTGAGTTCCAGCTCTGTGTCAAAGAATGGATCTAATCTATTCTATAAATTCCAATCTCCAAACTACTTTTGCCCAGATGTGATTTATTTTTCACAATGGTTACCATTTAAACGTTACATGCTCTCCAAAGTTTTAAGTACAAAACTTCAACCACCTGAGATTTTTTGGGAGCAACGGAGGTTGAACTTTAGGTTTGAAAAGCATAAGACCCGTGAGGCACATATTATTATTATTATTATTTTTTATGTGCCAACACATCCATGATGTAGCCCTTTGAGGCATTTTCAAGAAACATCTGCCTAATATTTGATGAATTGTAAATACTGGTTATGGCTTCATACATGAGACAGCAATGAGACAGAGCAATTAATTGTTCATCTATTGTGTGAGTTTCTGGGAAGAGTTGTGCCACAAGCTAGAGAGAGAACTTTTTTTTTCACAAAACATGAGATGGAAAAGGAACTGCAAGCAAGAGATGTAAAAGGTGATCAAAACAGGAAAGAGCCTCCTTAAAAGCACAGCAGTTCAAGAGCAAAATCTACATAGTAAAGATAGGAAAAGGAGAAGAGAGAANGTTTTTAAGAAAATACTGGACGAGCATTTGTCTGAAATGGTTTGGGATCTCCTGCTTGAGCAGGGGGTTGGACTAGAAGGCCTCCAAGGTCCCTTCCAACTCTGTTATTCTGTTATTCTTTGCAAACAGGGAGATGATTGATGGGATTAAAGAGCTGAGAACTTTGGATGCAGATGGACACAGATTGTTAACACTCTTAACAACTGATTGTCTGCCATCACGTTGATGTTGAAGCTCAGGGACCTGAGAGGTAGACCTTCTCCGAGGTGACCTGTCCCTTCAGGCGTTCCAGGGTTGCACCAGTTGCCCCAGGGTGGAGTCTGTCATTCTGCTGCTGGTTGTCCTCTTCTTCTTCTCCTCTTTCTTCCCACCACTGTCAACATTCTGGACTTCTCAAGCGAGCTCCGTCTTTGCATTCGGTCTTCAAAACATAACTTCAATCTGGTCACTTGGAAGCCTTGAGTGAAATTCTGGGAATTACTTTTTCTGTTTGATTGTTTTCTTGTCAATCCACAGTATTCTCCGGAATCTGACAGAACTATTTAGAGAATTATAGAAGGGACCTTGGAGGTCTTCTAGTCCAACCCCCTGCTCAAGCAGGAAACCCTATTCCACTTCAGACAAATGGCTGTCCAACCTCTTCTTAAAACTGATGGAGCACTCACAACTTCTGGTGGCAAGTTGTTCCACTGGATAATTGTTCTAACTGTCAGGAAATTCCTCCTTAATTCAAGGCTGCTTCTCTCCTTGATTAGTTTCCATCCGTTGCTTCTTGTCCTGCCTTCCGGTGCTTTGGGGAATAGGCTGAGCCCCCCTCTTCTTCGTGGCACCCCCTCAAATACTGGAATGCTGCTATCATCAGCCCCCCCACCAGTCCTTCTTTTAATTAAACTGAACATAATTAGTTCTTCATTGTTCTAGCCCCCCAATCATCTTTGTTGCTCTTCTCTGCACTCTTTTTAGAGTTTCAACATCATTTTGATATTGTGGCAATCATAGTTTAAGCCCTTCCTCTCTGTGACAGCCTGTCAAATATTGGAAGACTTCTCTCACGTCACCCCATTACTTCTCTTTGTTAGATTACTAGACATTCCCAGTAAGAAGTCATTCATTGTATGTTTTATCCTCCAGTCCCCTAATTATCTCTGCACTCTTTCCAGAGTCTCACCGTCTTTTCTGTATTGTAGCAACCAAAACTGGACCAGTGGTGGGATTCAAATGATTTAACAACTGGTTCTCTGCCCTAATGAGCAGCCAGGTAGGCGTGGCTCAGTGGTCATGTGACTGGGTGGGCGTGGCCAACTCAACGCCACTCGCTTCAATGGGCGCTTCGCCTTAGCTGTTACAATGTAGTAAGGGTTAACTGGAGAGGCAGTTTCTGTAAGCAGGGCAATAAAGATGAGGCTAGAAACAAAACCGGAATGTTTCCTCCCTGCCTTCCTTACAGGATTACCCCTGTAAATTGGGGAAAAAACAAAAGGAGATTTCTTCCAACAATCGGTTCTCCGAACTGCTTAGAAAATTACCAACCGGTTCTCCCGAATAGGTGCGAACCGGCTGAATCCCACCACTGGCCCTCCATCACTGGAGGCTTTTAAGAAGAGACTGGACAAGCGCTTGTC